CTGAGTGATAGGAGCTTTTGTTCTACTGAGGTTATTCTTGCCAGGCTCCTGGATGAGGGCTGGTCACCAGAAAGACCAACCATGACTATAAACTTGAAGCTTTTAGCTCTGACCTCCATTCTCCAGAGAGGGGAGAGGGGATGGAGGTGGAGTTAATAATTGATTTTGCCTACATGATGAAATCTCCATAAAAATCCCTTAACTATGGGGTTTGAAGAGCTTCTGGATTGGCGAACACATAGCCACATGCCTGGAGGGTGGTGTGCCCCAACTCCATGGGAACAGAAGCTCCTGCACTTGGGACCCTACCAGACCTCACCCTTTGTATCTCTTCCTCTGGTTGTTCATCTGCATCCTTTATTTTATCCCTTATTACGAAGCTAGTACATGTAAGTAAAGGGTTACCCTGAGTTCTGCGAGTCATCCTAGCAAATTAATAGAACCTGAGAAGTGGTTGTGGGAAGCAAGACTTACAACCCATTATCTGTCAGAGGCACAGGTCACAACCTGAGACTTGTGATTGGCATCTGAGGGGGGGCAGTCTTGTGGGACAGAGTCCTTTGCCTATGAGATCCGATGTTATCTCCACATAGACAGTGTCATACTTGAATTGAATTAGAGAACAACCAGCTGGTGTCTGTGGGAAAATTTGCTTGGTATATGGGGAAAACCCTCACACATCCAGCGTCAGAAATGCTGCATGCCTAAATGGCAAAGAGTAGGAAAAACAGTTCCCCCCCATTCTTAATATCTGTTTAAAGTAGCCCTATTATTAATTATTAATATTAATAAATATTCTGTTTATTTATTTCATGGCAATTTTTATCACCTTTTATTATCTGGTTCAGTTATTTGTTTACTCTTTTAAGTTTGACTTCCCCACTAGATTATAAGCTTTGTGAAGGCAAGAATCACAATGATTTTGCTGTCATTTTTTTTTTTAACCATCATATACTCAGATCCTGGTACAGTAACTAGTATGAAGTAGATGTTCAATATTTAATAAATACATAATTACTATATTTATTAGTTGAACAGTGTGAATCAACATCATAGGGAAAAATTATCTTAAGGTTAGCTCCTAAAAAGCAGTGAAACAAGCAATTTCCTAAAACATGCAAGAAGAGACTTTCAGAATGATGTCCTATGAACTATAGCCTGTGCTTCTGTGGTTCTGACCAATGACAAGTCATTTGTAATCCAGCAAATATTTTTACTCCCCTGCCTCTGACTCTGTATGTTAGTCAAAATTAGAATTACTTGAAAGAGTAATTCTAAGCCAGGCGTGGAGGCTCATGCCTGTAATCCCAACATTTTGGGAAGCCAAGGCCAGGAATTCAAGACCAGCATGGGCAACAATGAGAGACTCCATTTCTACCAAAAAAAAAAAAAAATTTAGCCAGGCTCACTGGTGTGTGCCTGTAGTTCTAGCTCTTTAGGAAGCTGAGGATCTAGGAGATTAAGGCTGCATTGAGATATGATTGCACTACTACACTCCAGACTGGGCAACAGAACAAGGTCCTGTATCAAAAAAATAGAATAATTCTAACCTGGATACATGACAAATAAATTCTAAAGAACAATTTTAACAATGTTTTATTTGGGGGGATTTTCATTATATACTTTAAGATAAGAACATTGGTTTGGCATAATAGGTATCTGTGGAAGCAAGTCACTTAATATATCTGCATGAGCATGCTGAGGTGAAAGCATAAGCAAATCACGCTTTTTCAAGTGTGGCTTAATGAGTTCAGCTATTACAACTCATAATCATTGTTGATGTTCAAATATATTAGGATTGAACATAACATGATAATGAAAGCACAGGAAAGATTAGCATTCTTAATCTACAGATGACACACTATTGACAACTATTTTCTTTAGATTTTTTCATAATTATGGTATGCTATGTATATTTAAAATATAATAATATTGATGCTGAAGGTACAAAAATTATGTATGATCATTATTCTAAAAAAGAATCAGGTTCCAATTATTTCTTTTGAATTCTAGTTACATTGCAAATTAAGAATTTTTATAGTTACTATTAAAAGATAGTAACCTTGAGCATAGCAAATAATACCAGGAGAAATCATTTGTTACATGTATGTCTTCAGGAAACTCTCACAAAAGATTTTGTTTGGCAAAGCTATTTGAAATAATTCTAAGTTAGAAATGTTTCGAGGCTTTCTAGGCTTTAGCAAGATGAATTCCATCTGTTTGGATTTTGATCCACTACTAAATTTTGGAATTGGCAGTCTCATTTTTGTATTTAACACAAATTAAATTTTACCTTAGAAACTGAGTTCTACATGGCTTGAGGCAAGTAGAAATTTGATTAAAATAAGTTACTGCTGTGATCTGAATGGACCCCCCCCCCAAAAAAACTCATTTGTTGGCATCTTAACCCTTAAGATGACGGTATTAGGAGGTAGGGCACTCGTGAAGTGATTAGGTCATGAGAGTGAAACCCTCATGAATGGGATTAGTGCCCTTATAAAAAAAGTGAGAAAACTAGTTATTCTTTCTACAATGTGAGGATACAGGGAGCTGTCTGTGAACTTGAAAGTAAGCCCCCACCAGACACTGAATCTGCTAGTGCCTAGATCTTTAACTTTCAGCCTCCAGAACTCTAAGAGACAAATTTCTGTTGTTTATTATAAGCTACCCAGTTTATGGTATTTTGTTATTTGTTGCCTGGACAGACAACACTTAATATATGGGGATAATAGATGACTTATACATCTAGGTGTGAATCCTGGGAAAATCTAGTGAAGTCACAGTTGAGAACACTTTAATCTAACAATCCTGCAGTCTTCAGGTTTAATTGTGTCTGGGCTCCCTCTAGTGGTTCAACTCTTTGTGCTTTAATTGGTGCTCTTCAATTCATTAAATTACCACATTTGGGGTTGGATTAAACAAAAATAAGCAAAAGAACCACTAACCTCCTATTAGAACGGTTTCCCACAAGAAGAAGATTATGTTATTGAATGGTATGATAAATGCAGACATAAATAAGACTGAAATAATAGTGCTGCAAATGCTCTGACCTCAAGGGACAGAATGTATTTTACTGGGTGACTAGAAAAAAACAGTTGTAGTTCTGTTCAGAGTGAGTGGATAAGAGCTGAAGACCCAGTAATAGAATTCCTTGTTGGTTTTGTTAACAGCCTAAGGTGAGAAATAGACTTTTTTCAGGGGGAGAATGAAATGAATGTTTCCTGCCCATATAGATCCTACAAGGTCAGAGGATTCTAGTTTGACTTTGTGTAAAATCAACTCTTAGATCAAACCCAAAGCAACATGTAGTTTTCTCCACATCATATTCCTAATATCATAGTCTCTACCTTTGTTTTAAACCAACATAAAAAACTTTAAGATTGATTTAACTTTATTCGCCTCACTATGTTGGTTTTACAAGATAGCCCTTTACATATTTAAGACAGTTATCATGTTCTCATTAAGTCTTTTCTGCCCTTCCTGATCATCAAAGCTTTTTGGAACTGGAATAAAAGGAACTATATGAGCATTATGATAGAGTAACTTGACAGACATTTTATTCATACATTTAAGGGTCAGCAAAAATAATGGCTTTTTTAAAGTTCAAAAAATATAATACTGTTACTATAAAGTATGAAGACCAAAGAAAACAGAAGCCAGTGAAATTAAAAGATGAAAATAGGAAGTAATGGGTGACTTACCCATTTCAGGACTTCCTCCTGCTATTTTCTGATTTCCAAGTGTTTCCAGAATGGATTTTAGCAGGAAAAGTACAGCAGAGATCAGATAAGTTACTGTGCAGTCAAGAAGTCTGTCATAATGTCTGTCGTGAAGTTTGGATACAATGAGACCAGGAATTGGCATTGCTCTTAAGATCCCAGATCCAACTTTTTTCCACTTTAGAAGATATTACTATACAGTCTGTAATTGATTATTTGCATAGATAGGGGAAACAACAACCACCTCCCAACAATTTAAGCACTCTGTTTGAAATAACAGTTTCGTTATCTCACAATTTTGGGTTGCAGTGAAGGTCGGGAAACTAGAGGTACAAAGATGTGAGTCATAAAAATAAAGACTATTTTCTTGTCTTCGATATCTGTAGTTCTTTTTAATGAAAATTAAAAGAGATAGGAAACATTCCAGCTGATAAAGAGTAATTCCCTGTGGGGAAGGGAGAGGGCAGGCAGCAAGCAGGTGGAAAAAGACTTGCAGGCAGTTGTCTTAATGTAGACAGGTGTTGCCTCTAATACAAAACTGAACACAAATAGACAATAAGCTCTTATCGCATTTAACAGAAGTAGTGATTAAATTGCCAAATAATATTCAAAGGAGAAAATCGGGAATCAGAGCAAATATACTATTGGTGTGCTACAAATACATCCAATAGCCTACTTTTTCCTCTTTCCCCTCCACAAGGCATTTTAAATGCCACACTGAGCTTCTCTCCTAAACTCTGCAGGTGCTTTTCCACAGGAAGAAGTTGTGCCTGGACCTCCCAAAGGCTGGAACCCCGGTTATCGAAGGCGTCAAGGCTGTAATCTCAGCTATTCCAAGCCAGCCAACGTATTTGCACCGGAGGACCCCAGATCCTGTATCCACGGGGATAACCGGAGTTTCTTCATAAAACCTCTAGACTGATATTCCCGCAGCGGTGATGCTCCAGCCCGAAGGCCAGGAAGACAGTATGCAACGCCGATACTTCCAAGTATATGTAACCAACAAAGTACATGCTTAATGACCTAGTGAAGTTAGAGGACGCTGCCTCCCAGACACCTGTAACGAAGGCCATCTCCATAAAGCTCTGGGACAGACAACTCGATTTCACCAAAGCGGACACCAAAACTCCCCCAGAGGGCTCGAGAGTCGTCTGACTTTCCGGTTGGCCCTTTCGGCCGTCACTCAGCGACTGGTAACGGAGCGTCGTTCCTGGCGCATGCGCACTGCCTGCTTCCGGCTCGCAGGGCTGTGTTCCGGTCTCTCCAAGCTAGGTGGATTTCTTCAGTCTGGTTCTCCCATGTGAGATGGCTCCGGAGTTTGGTCCTTTACCCGAAGGGCCGCTCTTAAAGCTGCTGCCCTCAGACTCTAAAGACCGGGGCACCCAGCGCTGCCGCCTGGGCCCGGCCGCCCTCCGCGCCTTGGGCGCGCACTTGGGCTCGGCGGTGAAGATCTCGCTGCCCGACGGCGGCTCCTGCCTCTGCACTGCGTGGCCTCGGCGGGACGGAGCGGACGGCTTTGTGCAGCTGGACCCGCAGTGCGTGACCCCGGAGGCGACGGTGGGGTTCCGGGGGAGTCTCAGCCTCAGCCGCCTCCTCGTGGTGCCCTGTCCGCCTCTGCGGCGCCTTACCGTATGGCCGGTGTTGCGAGAGCCGGCAGGCGCGCCCGGTGCTCCGAATCCCGCAGCGGTGCTGGAGGCGGCGCAGGAGCTGCTGAGGAACCGACCGGTCTCCCTGGGCCACGTGGTGACCGCTCCGCCGGGCGCCCCCGGCCCGGTGGCTGCCTTGCGCATCGTCGGCGGGACGCCCAGCCCCGAGGTTGCGGGGCTGGTCACCCCTCGCACCCGCATCGGTTTCAGCGTGGAGCCTCCGTCGGAAGCAGAGTCGCAGTCCGAGGTGCTCCTGGGGGGTCTTTCCGAGGCGGCCGACTCGCTGCGGGAGCTTCTCCGCCTGCCGCTCCGCTACCCTCGCGCCCTGGCTGCGCTGGGGTTGGCGGTGCCCCGCGGGGTGCTCCTGGTGGGCCCCCCGGGAGTAGGCAAGACTCAGCTGGTGCGGACGGTGGCCAGGGAGGCGGGCGCGGAGCTGCTGGCAGTTGGCGGCCCCGCGCTGCAGGGCACTCGCCCGGGGGAGACCGAGGAGAACGTGCGGCGGGTCTTCCAGCGCGCCCAGGAGCTGGCTAGCCGCGGGCCCAGCCTCCTCTTTCTGGACGAGTTGGATGCCTTGTGTCCTCGGCGGGGCTCTGCACACCGAGCACCCGAGAGCCGCACGGTGGCTCAGATGTTGACACTGCTGGACGGCATCAATGGGGACCGCGAGGTGGTGGTTGTCGGAGCCACCAACCGGCCAGACGCGTTAGACCCAGCACTGCGCAGACCCGGGAGATTTGATCGAGAGGTGAATAGGCCTGGTGGCTTAGCCCGTTGTCTCTGGAACGTCGGCCTGTAGTGGCTCAGGTTGGCTACCCCGAGGCGTTTGCACCTTAAGTTTAGGAATAGGTGAGGCTGGAGTGGGGCTCTTTGTAAGTAGAGGACATGTTCTATGGCCCATAAGTGATCTGTGGGCCGGGACCTACTATTCTCGAGTCGCATTGTTTTAGGAAGCAGGATGGCCACTAAAGATTAGTTTTGTTGTGCAGATCCTGCAGTTGGTACTACAATCAGTAATGTTAATTCTTAAGAGAACTAGGCCTGCTACAAGCATTTTAAACTCATAGATTTGGAGTGAGAATTTAAAAAAGTAGAAGGATAGCCTTCAGAAGTAAGTGTATTGAAATAAAAAGGGAGTACGCAGGGAAGAACTATCAAACACTAGATCTTATTCCTTCTATCTAACCATATGCTTGTACCCATTAACCAGCCTCTCTTCATCACACACCTACCCTTCCCAACCTCTGGTAACTGTCATTCCACTCTCCACCTCCATGAGATCAGCTTTTAAAGTAATATATTTTAGACTTTAAACTCAAATTATTGTTGTTTTTTTTTTTGCTTTGCATATAGATTGTCATTGGAACTCCCACAGTTGAACAAAGAAAGGCGATTCTGCAAGTGGTTACCTCAAAGATGCCCATCTCCAGTCGTGTTGATTTGGGCCTTCTTGCAGAAATGACAATTGGCTATGTTGGCGCAGACCTGACAGCACTCTGTAGGGAGGCTGCCATGCATGCTCTTCTTCATAGTGAGAAGGTAAGTATTAATTTATGAACAGCTATGTTAATCTTTTTATTAATGTAACATTATTTTTTGGGGGTTAAGAAAGTGGTAAGTACATCTTATTGGAAGATTGGTAGCTTCCACATCTGTTTCTTATAGATTTTATATAGGTACTCATATAATTAGTAATATAGTTGAAGGTGGGGATAAATATGGGCCAAGTACTCCAGGTCGACTGAGTGAATTTTCCCTTACTCCTGTAATAACTTCCTAGCACTGAAGCCCAGAATATCCAATAAAGACATTGTGGCCCCAGGAGAACCAAGTAATTTTTCTTAACTTAAAAAACTTTTTTTTTATTTTGATGCAATTTTAGACTTAGAAGTTGTAAAAATAGTACAAATAATTTCTATATACTCTTCTCCCAGATTCTCCAAATGTAACAGTTTGCCACACTTGCTGTGGGGTTCTTCATGTATATTTATATATTTTTGTTTGTATGCTTGGTGGTTTTTTTTTTTTTTTGAGTCAGGGTCTCACTCTGTTGCCCAGGCTGGCATGCTGACAGCCACCGCAGCCTTGACCTGCTGAGCTCAGGTGATCCTTCTACCTCAGCCTTCCAAGTAGCTGGAACTACAGGCATGTGCCACCATCACTAGCATAATTTTTAAAAAATTTATGCTAGAGACGAGGTCTTGTCATGTTGCCCAGGCTGATCTTGAACCTGTGGGCTCAGGCAGTACTCTTGCCTCAGCTTCTCAAAGTGCTGGGATTATAGGCGTGAGTATTTATTTGTTTTTAATGAAACATTTGAGAATATAGTATAGCCTTCATGCCCATTACCCATGAAAGCTTAAGTTACATTTTCTAAAAGCAAGGACTTAACCATAGTACAATGATCAAGCTTAGGAAATTAACACTGACACAGTACTTTTATGTAATCTAAATAGATTGTAATCTAAAACCAAATCTCAGCCTTTCTTCTGTAACCTTAACTTTTTTAAGAGTACAGGTCAGTTATTCTATAGAATATTCCTCAGTTTGCATTTGACTGATATTTCCTCAAGATTCAGTTCAGGTTTTCATTTGTGGAGGCATGTCATAGAAATGATCTTTTGTGTGTGTGTGTGTGTTTTTCATTGTATCTGTTAGATAGCACATGATATCTCTCTTGCTTGTGAAGTTAACTTTGATTTCTTGAATAAGGTGTTATCTGTGAGATTTCTCCATTATAAAGTTATTTTTCAGCCAGGCATGGTGGCTCACACCTGTAATCCCAGCAGTTTGGGAGACAGAGGCGCGAGGGGAGACGGAGGTGAGAGGGTTGCCTGAGCTCAGGGATTCAGAACTAGCCTGAGCAACATGACAAGACCTTGTCTCTACAGTAAAAGAAAAAAAAAATTAGCCAGGTGTGGTGGCATACACCTGTAGTTCCAGCTACTTGGAAGACTGAGGTGGAAGGATTGCTGGTACCTAGCAGGTCAAGACTTGGGTAACTGTGAGCATGCCACCGCACTCCAGCCTGGATGATACAGTGAGACTCTGACTCAAATAAAAAAAAGATATTATTTTCCCTTTGTTATTAATAAGTATTTTGTGGGGGAAATAAACTTTTATAAACCAGGAGAAGACTGGGCACCTGGAATTTTATTTAATTTTGTCTTTAGCATTCAAGTCTGTAATTCATGACTACCTTTCTTAACAATATTTAGGATATTTGCTTAAATACAATACTTTTCAACACAATTGATTAGAAAATTCAGTCATTTTGTATATAATAAATAATTCCTAAACACTTTCAGAAAAAATTAATTTCAGCAGACTGAGGATTCTGGGACAAAGTTTTACCTTGGTTGTAACACTAAAATTGTCTTTTGATCTTAAACTTCAGAAGGATGATTTATCATCCTAAATTTTGAAAAAGATTTTTACGTAAATAATTTATACTCTTCCTTCCTTTTCCTTTATTTGTACTCTTACATTGAAAGTGGGGAAGAGTTATATGATCTTCTGAATCCTCATCTTGTGGGTTTAGAACCCAAACTACAGAAGTCCCATGTGTAAAGATGTGAGAATATATGTCTTTTGAGGAGATAGGAAGGGAGATTTACATTTAGGATTTCCTGTGCTTTGAAGTTCCAGGTTTGACCTTAAGCATCTCTGGCTTAGGTGGACCAATCAGCTGCTGTCGTCCTAGGGTGGAGCCCACTGCTACTTCAGGATGGGTCTTCCCCGTGTAGTTGCCACAGGTGATGGCTGAGTTCAGAGACAACCAGGGGAAGTGGAAGGAAGAAAGGCAAAAAAGGAAGAAGGGACAGAAACATCTGGGAAGGTATTGGTCCATCCTTTTTTTTCTTTCCCTTACCTGGCAGCTGATGGGCTGCTGCCGCCTCCATACCAGGACAGACAAGGGATACATTAAAATTGGTTAAGCTTTTTGTGAATTATTCCTATTAAAGCATTAAAAATGTAATTTAATGCACATACATTCACACACAGGGGAAAGAATTTGTATGCCCCAAAGGGCTATGAAAGTTGAGGGAAATAATGTATACACAAGTGATCTTGAACTGTAAATGAGATTTTCAAATGTTCGTTGGTATAACCTAAAAGTTAATTAGTATTCTGGTACCTAACATCTGCCAGCCAATAAAAAAGGCTATTTTTAAAAAGTATATAATAGTGTTATTTATGAGAAATTAAACTAGAAAGAAAATTACAAAGAAAATAAGAATTGCCTGACACCTCACTTCTCAGAGATTACAATTGTTAACATTTTGGGGGAAATGCTATTCAGAATAGCTCTATACATATAGATTTGCTAACATATTTTTACAAAAATGGAGTCAAATAGTTTTATTTTTGAAAATGGGAATTGATGGACAATTAAATGTTTAGAGTTTGTTATAAGAAGACCAATACTTTTGAATAAATATTCTACAACTATTATTTATGGAATTCTCAAAACTTTTTTAGCTAACAAAATTTGCTTTAGTGTAATGATCAAGGTTACAAGGGGTCTTCAAAATATAATCTTAGAGAGAAGATAGCTTAAGTATAATGTAAATCTAATAGTCAAAAGGAAATTATTTGCTAATTTGACCATTTAGAGATGGCAAAATATTACTATAAGTAAAGTTAAGACTAGGAAAAATACTTGTAGCTTGATTTCTTTGATATAGAAAGAACTTTTACAAATGAATAAGAAAAGATCAACATTTCAACAGAAAATGAATATTAAGAGATGAACAAATAGTTGACAATAAAAGAAATACCAGTAAACATGAAAAATCTTCAATCTTAATTTTTTAAATTATTTTTTTAGGTTTTTTTTAACTTTTTTATTTTGAAATAATTTATAGAAAAGTTACAAGATCGTTAAAAAGAACTTCCAGTAAACCTTTTATCCAGATTCACTAATTTTTTTAACATTTTTCCAAATTAGCTTCATCATGTTCTCTTTCTTGTTTTCTCCTCTTCTCTCTTCTCTCTCTCTGTCTCTCTAACCACCTCTCCGTCCTCTTTCCTCTCTGTCCCCTTCTGTATATATATGTACATATTATTTATTACTTTGGACCATTTGAGAATGAGTCGTATATATAATGACCCTTAACATTTTAATGTCTTTCCTAAGAACAAGGATGTTCCCATATATAACTACAGTGTGGTCATGTATGGTCATTATATTTAGGGAGTTTAACATTAATACAAAAATATTCTGAAATATGTGGTCCATATTTTGGTAATTGTCTCAATCTTTTTAGCATTGTTTTCCTCTAGTGTAGGATCCAGTTCAGGATATTAGATCGCATTTAGTTTACAGTCTTTTCAAATTTTGAACTTTTTTTTTCGGTCTGGGACATTTAATATTGGCATACTGATGCAGATCAGAGATTCAGGTTACATATCCCCATTGGGAATACTATATAAGTGATGTGAGCCTCACGATGTCCATTGTCTGCTCATTGGTGATGTTAATTTTGGTCAATCAGTAAAGGCAGTGCCCATTTTCTCCACTGTGTGGCTACTATTTTTTCTCTTTGCCATTAATAAGAAGTCTGTGGGGAGACACTTTGAAATATTCTGCCCATCAAACTTTCACTCCTGCATGTAGCATCCAGTTGTCCCAAACAGCCTTTACTATGATGGTTGCAAAAAAGGTAATTTTGTAATCCATCATTCCCTTTACTTCCCTCTGAATTGAAGAAAGTTAGTTACACAATAGTCTGTGCCATTTCTTCGGTCATATTGACAGAAATTTAAAAGTTTGGTAATATCCAGTAATAGGTATGAGGAGCATAGCAGTTCATATTATTGGAGGAGAATAAATTGATGCAGCTTTCTTTGAGGACAGTTTGTTGATAACTGTCAAAGTTGTATATGTGCATCCTCTTAAACCCTTAAATTCTACTTTAAGGAGTTTTATTTTTTACTTTTTTTGAGTCGGGGTCTCACTCTGTCACCCAAGCCAGTGTGCAGTGGCACAATCACAGCTCACTGCAGCCTCGACCTCCTCAGTTCTGGTGATCCTTCCACCTCAGTCTCCTGAGTAGCTGGGCTACAGGCGTGCACCACCACACTGAGCTAACTTTTTGGTAGAGATGAGGTCTTGCTATGTTACCTAGGCTGGAAAACTCCTGGGCTCAAGCAGTCCCCCTCTCTCGGCCTCCCAAAGTGCTGGGCTTACAGGTGTGAGCTACTGCACTCAGCTTGAGGAGACTATTATATACAATATTTGTGGATGAGCATAAGGACTTTCAGTTGCAGGTGTGTTTTTAATGATAGACAATAACCTAATGTTTGTTTAAAAAATAGATATTGTCCTGGTACATTTATTCAATAGTGTATTATGCAGTTGTCAAAAAGAGTGTTGTACTGTATTAGTTGACATAGATTAAGTGAAAAAAGTGCATATTGCTATGGTTCCTTTTGTGTGTCAGTTTAAAAGGATATGTATTGTCATAAAAACATAGTGGAAGGATATACAAGACACTTGACATTTTCTGGGATGGGTACTGGTAGGAATTGGCAGAGACATTTAATTTTTTGTATTATGTGTATAAATTTACTTCATAATAATAACAATAGATTCGCAAAGTCAGAAGAGAATTCTTTTAAGAAAAGTAGTTGTGCTTACATGCCACAAAAAAAGGCCCACCTAATTTGTGGTTTGCTTTTGCTTTTTTGGGTATATTTCTTCAGATCCAGGAAAAGCCTATTATTGATGAAACAGACTTTCTTGAAGCTTTTAAAAAGATTCAACCCTCATCGTTTCGAAGTGTCATCGGACTGATGGACATCAAGCCTATTGACTGGGAGGAGATTGGTGGTCTTGAAGATGTAAAACTGAAGTTAAAACAGGTAAAATAGATAATCAGTTTAAACCAGCATGATATTACAGATTACTATTTTGTGCATTTATGATGAAAACATACCGCATTGAAAAACTGCTCTTGCTACTGCTACTAATGCAATCCTAACATCTAAATCCAGTGATCCCTTTTCAGTCCTTATTTAACTGACCTCTGTAGATGTCAAAACTGTTTTTCATACTTTCCTACCACAACCCTCTTTTTGTTTGCACTTTGCTTTAAAGATTTTATAATCGAGAACAGGCGTCAACAGATTTTCTGTAGAGCGCCAGACAGTAAATGTTTTAAGCTTTGTGGTCCATACAGTCTCTTGCAATCACTCATCTCTGCCATTGTAGCACAAAACCAGTGGTAGATAATATATAAATAGAACATTGTATTCGGAGAAAATTTTATTTATGAAATCCTGTAATTTTCATGTGTCAGAAAATATTACTTTTTTATTTTGTTTCAAGCATTTAATAATGTAAAACCCATTCTTAGTTTGCGGGCTGTACAAATACAAGTGGCAGGCCTTGGTTTGCCCTGACCTCTGATCAAGAAGACATGAAATAGAATGCAATACAGGGACTGGTAAAAGCACATTTTAACATACAGTGACCAGTTTTCACCATGGAAGATGAGGGATGCAGATTTCCAGATTCTTCCACCTGCATTGCAGTTTCAGAAATTGATTTTGCTAATGTGATCTTGTTCTAAGAAACTAGGTTTCTCTAACCACACACATAAAAGACTGATTTATTATAAGTGTTAATACAGTTTACTTATGTTAACTAGGAGCTGTATCTCCAGTGAATGGAATCCTTGAGTCCATGGATAAGAGCATTAATAATATATGCTAATTTTTAAAATGCATTGTCTCATTTCATCTTCACAAGATCCATGAGAGAAATTAATCACACTTTTCTATTGAAAGCACTTTGTTTTTCCTTAGCTTTAAGACATTAAGCCTTCCTGCCTTTCTAAGCACTCCTCTTTCTCCAGCTCCCTCCCCCCACCCTTTTTTTTTTAGTTGGAATTTCACTGTTGCCCAGGCTGAAGTGCAGTAGCTGCTCAGGGCAGCTTCCAACTTCTGGGCCCAATCATCAGCTTCCCAAGTAGTTGGGACTACAGGTATGTGCCACCACACCCAGCTAGTTTTTTTAATTTTCTATAATGACAAGGTCTTGCTATGTTGCTCAGACTGATCTTGAACTCAGGGACCCAAGTGATCCTCCCACCTCTGCCTCCCTAAGTGCTGAGCCACCACGCCTGGCTTCTTTCCTCCCTTAAATGTTAATATTTTAAAAGGCTCGTGGGAGTCCTTTTTTGCAGTGAGACTCTATATATATATGTCGCAGCATTTCTGATCATCAGAACTACTTAGCTGCCTGCCTATCAGATAACCCCAGGAATCTCAAACTTAGCAATTACAAAGTTCAGTTAGTCAACTCTACCCACACACATCTGGATTTTCTACTTAAGTGAATATAGCCAACCACCCCTTTCCCTAAGTCAGAAATCTATCTTTTAAATGTGTGAGGCTAAGAATTTAGTCCCTATGTAAAATACAGTTCAGTTTTGTGTTTCAGATATCCATCCCTCCCATACCATCTTCACTGCTTGTAACACATCCAGTCTTTCCATTTTTGTAGACTGAGTCATTGCAAGAGACTTCTGAGACGTCTCCCTGCCTCTAGTTTCATTTTTTTCTAGTCCATTCTCCATACTGCTTCATTGTTAACTGAAATTTTCAAGGCCCTTTGTGATCTGACTCTTACCTCCACTTAAACTTCATTGCTTCTTGCTTTCTCCCATCCTCTCCTCTGTTTCTGCTTATTGTTGGGAGGATAGATTAGATGGTTTCATGCATCTCTATATGTATTGTTCCTTGTCCTTGGAATGCTCTCCTTTCTGGCCTGGTTATTAGTCTATAAGTCTATCTCTAACAAGAACATAAGTAGCTTAGGTACAGAGAGGGTTCTTATCTTACCCTTTTTTATAGAGAGGTATTACATCGGTAGTAAAGAGCTGGTGCTCTTGAGTTACATTGCCTAGGGTCAGTTCTGGTTCTGCTAAACTGGGTACCCAGTTGTGTAGCTCTCACTAGCAATAAGACCTGGGCAAGTTACTTAACTTTTTAAAGCCCAAGTTTCTGTATCTGTAAAATTATAATAATGATAAAGCCATTTACTCTAGAGTTAATGAAGACTCACTTTCTTTTCTTTTTAATTTTATGTTAGATTCAAGAGGTACATGTGCAGATTTGTAACATGGGTGTATGCATGATGGTGAAGTTTGGGTGTCTACTGAGCCTGTCACCCAAGTGGTGAACCCTTGCTCCCCCTCCTTCCTCCCTTTTGGAGTCCCCAGTATTAGTTGTTCCCATCCTTATGCCCATGTGTACCCAATGTTTAGTTCCCACTTATAAGTGAGAACATGTGGAATTTGTGTTTCTGTGTTAATTTGCATAGAATAATGGTCTCCAGTTGCATCCATGTTGTTGCAAAAGACATGATTTTGTTCTTTTGATAGCTGTATAATATCCCATGGTGTATTTATACTACATTTTCTTTATCTAGTCTATTAAGGACACCTAGGTTGATGTTTTGCTATTGTGAATAGTGCTACAGTAAATATATGAAGGCAGGTGTCTTTTTGGTAGAACGACTTATACTCCTTTGGTTATATATCCAATAATGGGATTGCTGGGTCTAATGGTAAATATATTTTTAGTTCTTTGAGAAGTCTCCAAACTGTTTTCCACAGGGGCTGAGCTAGCTTACATTCCTACCAACAGTGTTTATATGTTTGTTGGCTGCTTGTACATCTTTTTTTGAGAAATGTCTGTTGATGTACTTTGCTCACTTTTTAATTGGATTTTTTGTTTTTGCCTGTTAATTTGTTTAAGTTCCTTGAGATTCTGGATATAAGTCCTTTGTCAGATGCATTGTTTGCAAGTATTGTATCCCATTCTGTAGGTTGTCTCTTTACTCTGTTGATGCTTTTGCCTTGCAGAAGCTCTTTAGTTTGATTAAGTCCTACTTACCCATTTTGGGTTTTGCTGCATCTGCTTTTGAGGACTTGGTCATGAATTCTTTGCCTAGGCTGATGTCCAGAAGAGGTTTCCTAGGCTTTCTTCTGGTACTTTTATAGTTTGAGGTCCTAATATTTAAGTTATTAATCCATCTTGAGTTAATTTTTGTATATGGTGAGCAGAAGGGGTCCAGTTTCACTTTTCTGCATATGGTTAGCCAGTTCTCCCAGCATTATTTGTTAACTAGGGTGTCCTTTCCCCAGAGTTTATTTTTGTTGTCTTTGTCAAAGATCAGTTAGTTGTAGGTCAACGGCTTTATTGCTGGGGTCTCTATTGTTCCATTGGTTTACATGTCTATTTTTGTAACAGTACCATGCTGTTTCATTTATTGTAGCGCTGTAGTAATGTTTGATGTCCTGTAATGTGATGCCTCTGGCTTTGTTCTTTTTGTTTAGGATCGCTTTGGTTATTCGGGCTCTTTTTTACTTCCATATGACCTTAAGTATTGTTTTTTCTAGATCTGTGAAAAATGATACTGTTAGTTTGATAGAGATTGCATTGAATCTGTCAATTGCTTTGGGCAGTGTGGACATTTTAATGAATTGATTCTTCCAGTCCATGAGCATAGATTGTTTTTCCATTTGTTTGTGTCAACATTGATTTCTTTCAGCAGTGTTTTGTAGTTCTCATTGTAGAGATCTTGCATCTCTTTGGTTAGATGTATTCTGAAGTTTTTGTGTGTATGTGTATGGCTATTATAAATGGAATTCTGTTTTTGATTTGGTTCTCAGCTTCAACATTGTTGGGATATAGAAATGCTATTGGTTTTTGAATATTGACTTTTCTATCCTGAGACTTTACTTAGGTCACTTATCAGGCGTAGGAGTCTTTTGGTAGAGTCGTCAGATGATATGATACAGAATCATATCATCTGTGAAAATAGATAATTTAACGTCCTCCTTTTCTATTTGAATACCTTTTCTTTCTTTCTTCCTTTTGCCTGAATGCTCTGGCTAGGACTTCCAGGACTATGTTAATTAGGAGTGGTGACTCATTCACTCTTCATTTAACATTTATTGAGTACCTCCTTTGGGCAGGTGTCTTTCTAGTTACTGGGATTTAGAGATGAACTTTTCTTACATTCTAACAGAGCAGAATGACAGATTCAACGTGGAAAAATAATAATTGTGAGTAAGTGCTCTAAAAGTAAAAGATGGGCAGAAACATAGAGAAAGTGATTACAAGGAGAGGGTTCTGCTTTAACCAGCTGGTTAGGAAAGACCTCCAAGGGAATGACATTTGAACTGAGACCTGAATGATGAAGAATAGCAACACAAAGATCTTGGGAGAATGTTCAGGCAGAGAGAATAGCAGGTAAAGGTCCCGAGATGGGAACAAACCAGGTGTTCGGGAGATAGATTATGTGAGGCCTTGTAAACTGTGGTAAGGCGTTTGGATTTGGATTTTATTCTGGTTCTAATGGTAAGTCATTGAAGAATTTTAAGCAGAAAGTTATATGACCTGACTTTGATTATAAGATCCGTGGGCCAGGCGCCGTGGCTCATGGCTATAATTCCAGTACTTTGGGAGGCCAAGGCGGGAAGATCACTTGAGTCCAGGAGTTCGAGACCAGCCTGGGCAACATAGCAAGACATATCTCTACAAAAAATCAAAAAAATTAGCTAGATGGGGTAATGCACGCTTGCAGTCCCAGCTACTTGGGAGGCTGAGGCAGAAAGATCGCTTAAGCCCAGGAGGTTGAGTCTGTGGTAAGCCATGATTGTGCCACTGTCCACCCACCCACTCAGCCTGAGTGACAGAGTAAACTCTGACTCAAAAAAATCTTTTTTAAAGATCTGTGGCTGCTGTGTAGAGGATAGTGTTTCCAGCTCTTAGGTGCCTAAGAGTTGTTGAATTGAGTGAGTGAATTTACTGAATGATTTGGTGTTTTATTGTAATAGTAAAACAACTCTTCCATCTCTATTTGTGTACTTACAGAGCATCGAGTGGCCTCTGAAATTCCCTTGGGAATTTGTTAGAATGGGCCTGACACAGCCAAAAGGCGTTCTCCTCTATGGGCCTCCTGGATGTGCTAAAACCACCTTGGTGAGGGCCCTGGCAACAAGCTGTCGTTGCTCTTTTGTTTCAGTGAGTGGAGCTGATCTCTTTTCACCTTTTGTTGGAGATTCAGAAAAAGCCTTATCTCAGGTTGGTTATTCTCTCATGTGTTTAAGTTTACTTTTGAATTTTTATTTCATGCCTTATAGACAAATTTCATTTTAAAAAATATTATGGTTTTTTTCTAATTACAAAAGTTATACGTATTTATAGAAAATTTAGAATATACAGGAAAGTATAAATATGAAATCCTCCATAATCCCTCTCTACCTACTGCTAACATTTTGATGAATTTCCTTTGTCTTTTTTTTTCTTTGTAAATAGTATCAAGGGCAGATTTTATATATCTTACATTTATCCTACTTTTTTAAACTTAATATTATTACTTTTGAAATTCTGTAATATTAAATATTCTTTGAAAATATGATTTGAATTTTTAAATGATTCCCCGATTTTTAGAGATGAATCTTTTTTTGTTAAAAATTATGAATGGTAATATGAGAACATACATTCACATGAATAATATATGGCATATATCTTTTTAATATTTTTTTTGTAACAAAAGGTATTTCGACAAGCAAGAGCAAATACTCCAGCAATTGTGTTTTTGGATGAAATTGATTCAATCTTGGGAGCTCGTTCAATCAGCAAAACAGGATGTGATGTACAAGAACGAGTTATTTCTGTTCTCCTGAATGAATTAGATGGTGTTGGACTTAAAACAATAGAGAGAAGAGGAAGTAAATCAACTCAACAGGGTAAATACAAGGAGCTCAAACAAAATGAAGCAGTATTTATTAGCTAAAATGCACCAAAAATCTAGACCAACAGGAAAAGAATACATATATGCTGTAGCTTTTCCTTTGCTGAATTCATCTCTTTAGAAGGATTTATATCATTTCAATTTGACTCTGTCAGATTTTTACAGAGCTAATAAGAATTGTGATTTGGCTAGGAATGGTGAGGTAAATTTTATAATTCTCTTAGATATATGAATGTATATTTTATTTTGCTTAAGATTGAGAAATATAACCGAAGCATGGTGGCTCACGCCTATAATCCCAACATTTTGGGAGGCTGAGGTGGGAGAATTACTTGAGCCCAGGAGTTCAAGACCAGCCTAGGCATCACAGCAAGAATTTCTCTCCACAAAAAATAAAAAAAATTAGCCAGGTATGGTGGTGCACATCTGTAATCCCACCACCTCAGAAAACTTGAACCAGAAAGATTGCCTGAGCCCTGGAAGTGGAGGCTGTGGTGTGAGATGTGATGGCACCATTGTACTCCAGCCTGGGTGATGAAGTGAGACTTAAAAAAAAAAAAGAAAAATTTTTATATAAAACAAGAGATTATTATTTTCGGTAATCTTAGTAATTGAAAACTTTCAGTTTTCTTGAGGAATGGGTTTTCCTTGGTTTTAATGAAGTTAGGATGACCCTTGGATGTTCCCATCCTCGCTTGCTATATCTCTTTTCCAGGTAGTTTGGTATCCTTAAAGTATCTCCGGTAGATCATTTTTCTTTTATTCCTCTCTTGTTCTTACTCATTTTCCCTTTTAAAAATTGTTGTATGGAGGGAGAATTTTGAGCTCCTTAGGAACATATACTAGCATTAGGAGGTACACATAAGGTTGTCTAATCAAATAATCTTATAATGCAGGAATTCCTTCTGCAGCATCTGACAGCATTCACTTAGCCTCTGCTAAAATACTTGCAAACATAGGCATTATGTCACTGGAGAACTGCTCTGATTATTCAACTCAACAAATGATTTTGAAAACTTAATATGTGTAAAGGCCTTGCTGTGTCTGCTGTTAGACATTTCTTTATCCAAGATTTGTATACATGCAACTTAAATTGTTATTATTTCTGCCTATGAAAAGAAAAATAAAGTAAATCTCCTTCTTAAGGACTTGATAGTCAAGTCTTTTCTTAGCTGTATGTCTTCACCTGTTAGTCATATGTTTCTGTCTTGTCTTTTTTTTTAGAGTTGGAATCTCACTCTGTCCCCCATACTGGAGTGCAGTGGCTGCTCCCGGCCACTGCAGCCTCAACCTGCTGGGCTCTGGCGATCATTCCGCTTCCGTCTTCCAAGTAGCTGCCCAGCTAATTTTTGACTTACTGTAGAGATGAGGCGGGTCTTGAACCTGCAGGCTCAGGCAATCCACTCACTTCAGCCTCCCAAAGCACTGGGATTACAGGCTGAGCCACCGAGCCTGACTTGTTTCTGTCTTTTCAAGAAGTCTATTTGAATTCTAATCATTCACTGGGGGCTCAGGTTCATTCAGGTCACCAGATATGTGTTCTGTGCTCTGGGATAAGGCTTTTCTTTGGTTTTCACATGGAGGAATGTCTCTTGGGATTAGCCACTCTCTTCACCATGCACACAAAGTAGCTCTTTGATTAATAATTTATTTCTGGGATACCTTGATATCAAGAAGTTGGCCTGGAAAGGGGGTGTAAGCATTCTAGTCCCAAGAAAAGGATCCCTGTTTAAAAGCAAACAGACCTTCCAATTGATTATTTTTTAAAAAATTGAATAATCGACAACTTAGTGACATTACTTTGTTTTTTCTCAGACTTTCGAGAAGTTTTTAACCGAAGTGTCATGATTGTTGCTGCAACAAATAGACCTGATACGTTAGATGATGCCTTGTTACGACCTGGAAGATTAGATAAGGTTATCTATATTCCACCTCCAGATATAAAGGTAATCATTGTACATATTTTCTCTGTGTGTGCATTCTTAATACATCGATGTCTGTTGTAAGGAGCTTGGCAGAACTAAATTCCAAACTGGATACAGATGTATATAGTGTCCTGCTCACACTGGCTTCCACATTCTTTCTTGCCTGATGAACCTTTGTCAAAATTATAATTATGATCTGCTTTTGCTGAATACTCTGGCCCTGTATTCAGAAAAACATAAACCTAAAAGTAAGGTAGTTATTTTAGTGTTGTAGCAGACTCAAAATACGGAGTCTGTTGAGTCTACTTGACATTATTATGCAACTAGATTGAAGGAATCCTTAAGTGTTAAAAGGATTTTGGAGATTATCTGGGTCAGCATCCTTTTAACAGTGGAGTAATCTGAGATTACAGAGATTATGCTTAATTATCCTTAATTAGTAAATATTTTTGTCTTTAACCTCCAGAGTCATTGATGGAGGGTAAAAGGCACAGAATAAATTTTTTACTTCCTTGACCTTTTATCAAGTTTTGATAGGATGGTAAAACAAATTTTAATGTCTATTATTTAATGTACTTTTAAATTGTATCTGATAATTCATGTATTTCCTTTCTAAGCCACATTTAGTGGCATTATATGTACCCAAAAGAGAAGTTAATCTTGTCTCTTTTTTTTTGAGCTGGAGGCTCACTCTGTCACCCAGACTGGAGTGCAGTGGCTGCTCCCGGCCACTCTGGTGATCCTTCCGCCTCAGCCTTCTGAGTAGCCAGAATTACAGGCATACGCTACCATTCCCGGCTGATTTTTTTATTTATTGTAGAGATGAGGTCTCGCCAAGTTGCCCAGGCGGGTCTCGAACCCAGAGGCTCAGGCAATCCACTCACCTCAGCCTCCCAAAGCGCGGGATTACAGGCTGAGCCACTGAGCCCTTCTTTTTTTTTTGAGTTGGAGTCTCGTCTCACTGTCACCCAGACTGGAGCGCAGTGGCACGCTCCCGGCCACCACAGCCTCAACCCTCTGGGCTCCGGCGATCCTTCCTCCTCAGCCTTCCAAGTAGCTGGAACTACAGGCGTGCACTACCACGCTCGGCTAATTTTTGATTTATTATAGAGATGAGGTCTTGCCAAGTTGCCTGGGCGGGTCTTGAACCCACGGGTTCAGGCAATCCTCTCACCTCGGCCTCCCAAAGTGCTGGGATTACAAACTGAGTCACCAAGCCCGGCCAATCTTGTTTCTTAAAGAGATGTTTATAGTTGGCTATTTAAAAAATTAATTATAAAACATTAAGGTTTTTCATATTGTCATTAATTATTTCTGCCATTGCCATATGGACCACTGATTACTTAGTCTTTCTAACCCTTTGGGGTTAAAAAGTGATTTTTTTTTTTTTGAGTCAGGGTCTCACTTTGCCCAGACTGAAGTCAGTAGCTCTATCACGGCTCACTGCAGCCTCTACCTCCTGGGCACAGGTGGTTCTTCCACCTCAACCTCCCAAGTATGTGCCACCAAGCCCAGTGAATTTTTTTGTTTGTTGTAGAGACAAGGTCTCGCTATGTTGCTCAGGCTGGTCGGTCTCAAACTCCTGGCCTCAAGCAGTCCTCCCATCTTGGCCTCCCAAAGTACTAGGATTACAAGTGCAAGCCACCATGCCTGGCCCTGATATTTTTTTTTTAATTCTTTGGTTCTCATATATGTACTTCCTCTGTAATGTGATAGAAAAATTGTTCTGCCAGGCGTGGTGGCTCATGCCTATAATCCCAGCACTTTGGGAGGCCAAGGTGAGAGGATTGCCTGAGCCCACGGGTTCAAGACCAGCCTGGGCAACCTGATGAGACCCTCCCCCCATCTCTACAATAAGTCAAAAAAATGTAACCAGGTGTGTTGGCACCTGTAGTTCCAGCTACTTGGAAGGCTGAGGTGGAAGGATCGCCTGAGCCCAGCAGGTCGAGGCTGCAGTGACTGTGAGCGTGCCACTGCACTCCAGCCTGGGTGACATGGTAAAACTTCAACTCATAAAAAAAAAAAAAGGAGCCGGGCTCGGTGGCTCAGCCTGTAATCCTGCGCCTTTGGGAGGCTGAGGTGAGTGGATTGCCTGAGCCCGTGGGTTTGAGACCCGCCTGGGCAGCGAGACCTCATCTCTACAAAAAAATCAAAAAGTTAGCTGGGTGTGGTAGCACGCGCCTGTAGTTCCAGCTACTTGGAGGGCTGAGGCGGAAGGATCGCCGGAGCCCAGCAGGTCGAGGCTGCGGTGGCCGGGAGCGGCCATTGCACTCCAGTCTGGGCGACAGAGTGAGACTCCAACTCAAAAAAAAAAAAAAAAAGGAAGAAAAAGTGTTCTATGTGTCATTGCATCAAACATTAATGTTATTAGATTATAAGTATATTGTCTTTTATTTTGTTTCAGGGCAGGCTTTCTATTTTAAAAGTCTGTACAAAAACCATGCCAGTAGGGCCTGATGTCTCCTTAGAGAAGCTAGCAGCAGAAACCTGTTTTTTTTCTGGAGCTGATCTTAGAAACCTCTGTAAAGAAGTAAGTTAATTAGTGAAAAAACCTGTGGTTCAAAACATTTCTTCACACATTGAAATCTTCATTCACTTGAAAGTATTTACTAAAAGACTGCAATGTACAGTGTGACACTATACAATGTGAAACAAACAGATGCAACCCTTTATAGAGCCCACTACCATTGTTGAGGGGGAATGCAGTGCAGAGAAGCAAATCATTATACTGAATTGGCTGTTGAAAATATGTAGTGAGTTGGGGAAGCTTAGGGTGCTGTGAGAGCACCTAGGCCCAGAGGAGGATGTGAAACTGAAATTGGAAGAATGATTAGGGAGTTCGGTAACTAATGTAGGAAAGAGGAATGTTTGGCGGCAGAGGGAATTTATGTGCAAAGGATTGGAGGTAAGAGATGCTGTGACATTGTTGAAGCTTGGAGTGGAGAATGGCAAGAGATAAAGTTGAAAAAGTGGGCAGTGGCCAGAGCACACAGGTCCTTGTAAGCCACTTTAAGTCCTTTGGGTTTTATTTTGAGAGCAAAAGAGTTTTTCCTTTTTCCATAAACTTTTTACTAAATATAATATACAGAAAAATGCAAAAATCATTTATAGTTCATTGAGTTAAAATAAAGTGATCACATTTTTGTAACCACCACTCATTGTCAAGAAATAGAACATTATCACATTAACATTATCCTTTGAGCCCTTTCGCAAACTCCTTCCAAAAAGAAACCACTCTCTTGACTTCCAAAACTAGAGATTAGTTTTCCTACTTTTGAACTTTATGTAAATGGAAGCATACAGTATACATTATTTTCTGTCTGCTTCTTTAGTCCAAGAAATTAATGGTTTTGTGTATAGCCATGAATATTCATTCTACATTTATTTGACTTTTACTTTTTAACATTTGGGTTGCTACTTTTTTTGTGTTATGCTGCTCTGAACAGTCTTGCACGTGTCTGTTGGCTCATGTGTGTACTTACGTCTATTTTATGTACATATATAGCTACAAGAATTGCTGAGTCATAGAGTGTGTGTGTGATCTTTTCCTTTATTATTTTAGTGTTGGCTAAAGACATTCCTACTTGAAGGTCAAGAAGATATTTCTCATCTCTAAAAATATATGGGTTCATAATGTATTTATTATTCCACAACTTTTAAAAAAAAGTTTAATATAGAAGAAATTAGGTCTACAAAGTAGATTTTTAATCACCTTATTTAACTTGTTTTTAGCAACATGAATATTGGAATCCTATGGAGACTGAGATTACGTATTTGTATTTTAAAGTATTAACCTTATATTGCTTTTTAAAAATGAAGTATATTGTTCCTGTTGCTTGGGTCTTACAGGCTGCTTTGCTGGCTCTGCAAGAAAACGGACTAGAAGCAACCACAGTGGAAGAAGAGCACTTCCTAAAATCACTTGAGACTATAAAACCATCCTTAAGTCAGAAGGACTTGACTTTATATGAAAATTTGTTTAAGAAAGGATTTTCTAACTTAGAAGATATTTAAAAATTACTTTACTCTCTTGTTCAGTTGTTCACATTATTTGAAATGTGAACTTGCCTGCAGTTTGCAACTTCACAGTTTTAGAAGTTGTGTATATTTCCTGTAAATAAAAAAACTTGTGCCTGATAATATAAGGCTCATCTTATTTCTAAAGAGATATATTAAATAAAATACTGTAATTCAGGAAGAAAGGGTATGCATGTGTATGTGTGTGTGTGTGTTGATTTTGTTCTGAGGGCAGTTGGTTTTGGTTGATTGATTGCTTTGAGTCAGAGTCTTAGTCTGTCAACAGATTGGAATGTAGTCGCACACTCACAGGCACCACAGCCTGAACCTGTTGGGCTCTGGTGATCCTTCTGCCTCAGCCTTCCAAGTAGCTGGAACATGCCACCACCCCTGGCTAATTTTGACTTATTGTAGAGACGAGGTCTTGCCAAGTTACCCAGGCTGGTCTCGAAGCCCTGGGCTCAGGCAGTCCTCTTGCCTCTGCTTCCAAAAGTGCTAGAATTACAGGCGTGAGCCAACACGCCCAGATGGTTGATTGCTTTTTAAACTAAAATAAATTCATAGTTACAGAAAAGTTGTAAAAATAGTACAAAGAACTCTTTAATAGCAAGATTCACCAATTTTTAGCATTTTGCCACATTTGCTTTCTCTATTCAGAAAAAAGCATTTTCCTGAATGCTTTTGAGAACAGATTAGACACATCATGTCTCTTTACACCCTAATGCTTCAGGGTATGTTTGTCACAAATAAGGTTATTTTCCCATATGACCATGATGCAGTTAACAAATGCAGAAAATTTAACATTGATACAATATTTTAATCATCCAATGAATTTCATGCATTGTCTCAATAATATCCTATATAGTAATTTTTCCCACTACAGGAGCCAGACTAGGGTCACACATTACATTTAGTTGTCATATTTCTTGTGCCTCTTTTAACTTAAAACAGTTCTTTTTTTTTTTTTTGAGTTGGAGTCTTACTCTTTCAGACTGGGGTGCAGTGGACACTCCTGGCCACCGCAGCCTTGACCTGCTGGGCTCCGGCGATCCTTCCGCCTCAGTTTTCCAAGTAGCTGGAACTACAGGCACGCGCTACCATGCCCAGCTAATTTTTGATTTATTGTAGAGATGAGGTCTTGTCAAGTTGCCCAGGTGGGTCTCGAACCCGTGGGCTCAGGCAATCCACTCACCTCAGCTTCCCAAAGTGCTGGGATTACAGGCTGAGCCACCGAGCCCAGCCTTAAAACAGTTCTTAATCTTTCTTGACCCTGATAGTTTAAGAGCATAGACCAATTATTTTATAGAACAATTCACTCCTGGATCTGTGTGTCTGATGTCTTATCATGATAGACTCAGGTTACGTATCACCAGTGGGCATTAGATAGTGGTGTGTCCTCTTGAGTATCATAGCTGGCGGCGCATGACATCTACACATTATTGGTAATGTTAATTGTGATCACTTATTTACAGTATTATGTGGCTGTTATTTTCCCTTTTGTAATTAAAGTTTTAAGAAGGTGGATATATATACATTTTTATTTTTATTGCAAAAGTAATTTAGAATACTAGAAAATGCAGATAAATGCAAAGAAGAAAACCCTTTGGTGTTTACCTTCCAGTCCTTCATGCATGTAAAACCAAAAAGTAATGAGATTGCTTAACTCTTGTTTTTCTCACCTAACAATAGCTGGTAAACATCTTACCAGACCATTCTGCACAAAGTGCCATGCTGGTTGCTGGGACATCCAGTGAACAAGACAGACATGGCATTGACAGGCCAGCTGGAAAAACACCTTAGACAAATTGTCAAATTTTTTTTTTTTTTTTTTGAGTTGGAGTCTCACTTCGTCACCCAGACTGGAGTGCAGTGGCCACTCCCGGCCACCGCAGCCTCGACCTGCTGGGCTCCAGCGGTTCTTCTGCCTCAGCCTTCCGAGTAGCTGGAACTACAGGCGCGTGCTACCACGCCCGGCTCATTTTTTTTTTTTTTTGATTTATTGTAGAGCTGAGGTCTTGTCAAGTTGCCCAGGCGGGTCTCGAACCCACGGGCTTGGGCAATTCACTCACCTCAGCCTCTCAAGGCGCGGGATTATAGACTGAGCCACCGAGCCCGGCTGAAAGTATCTTTTTCAATTGTAATTATAGTCACTGCACTGTCTCCGCAGATTCTACATTGGCAGACTCGACCAACCACAGGTCCAAAATATTTGAAAAAGTAAAAAATAACAATAAAATCTTACAAATAAACAATCCATTGTAAAAACTACATTTCATTTACATGGTATTAGGTATTGCAAGTAACTGAAAGATGATTTAAATGTCAGGGACTTCAGCATCCCTGGATTTTGGTATCTGAGGGAGTTCCTGGAAACACGGATGACTATATAACTTCTCAACAGAACTTTGGAAGTCTGAGAACAAAGACCATGTGTCTTCTTACTGAAATGCTCAATAAATGACAAAGTCAGATGAAGAATTTCTTTGATTCAGTTTTAATCTGATTTGAAGATGGCTCTGGGCAACTTCCAATAGCTGTATTTATCTGTGAGAAAATTATAACACTTCAGCTTCTAAACCCGTTTTTTTCTGTTATACTAGGAAGAGTGAACAGTTTTCCCAATAAACTGAGCTCAAATTGCTTTCTGGGCCACATTAACAGTCAATCTTAAACAATACACAACATCTCCAGAACCCCCAAATTTAGCAAATCTAGTGTTTAAGTCTGGTAATAAGGTAGCCACTGAAGGATGGGGTGTGAGGATTAACACAGTTAAGAGATAAGCAAAAAGAATTTCAACAAAAAAGTTTAATAAAGGAAAATTACATGCTTCTTGCAAAACCTGAATGGGTCTGATTAAAATCTAAGTTTAAATTCCTGAGTCAGAACCAAGCCGCCAATTCTGGGTGGCAGTAGAGAAGGTTCTAGAAGTTTCTGGCAATTGAGGGTGGAGAGAGGAAGCTACCTCAAAGGATAAGTGCTTTCTGATGCTGGTGAGTGTCCTGGGTAGGCTCCTTTGGAGGCTGCCAGACTTTGAAAGAGCAGGAGTTGTGCTGCTTCTCATCCTAGTCATCCAGGTGGCACTGGCCTGGCGGCACCTTCTGAGTTTGGCTGCAGGGAAGACCCTGATTTTATCCCTAACCTCTAGCTGCTGGTGGTGAGGCTATAAATTCCATTACATTTGGAGGTAGGAAGTCTTTCTATTGCTAAAGAACTGGATGACAGAAAATTCTTTTCTGGGTAGTCTTGCCTTCAGTAACTTCAGACAAAAGGGCAAAAAAAAAAAAAAGAAAAAGAAAAAAAATCTGAAAATTCAGCCTACTCAGCGTGAAGACAAGGATGAAGACCTTTATGATGATCCACTTCCACTTAATGAATAGTAGATATATTTTTGTTCTTGTGATTTTAATAACATTTTCTTTTTTTCTGGCTTACTTTGTTGTAAGAATACAGTATATCACATATATAACACACAAAATATGTGTTAATAGACTGTGTTATTGGTAAGGCTTCCAGTCAACAGGAGGCTATTAGTTAAGCTTTTTAGGGAGTCAAAAGTTATATATGGATTTTTGACTATGCGGGGTAGGGGATTGGTGCCCCTCGCCCCTGAGCTGTTCAAGAATCATCTGTGCCTGCTTTTGCAACAGTATTTATTGAGCAAATAATTTAAATTTCAAAATTGCTGCAATTGCTTTAACATGTACGTTTGATTAACTGTTAAATGAGCCACCCAAAGCACAGTGTTGTAATTTCAGGAATCTAGGGAAAGACTAAACTACATATTGACCTTGATCTCCCAAAAGCTCCATACAACCAGGTATTAACAAAAAGGGGGGAAACTGTGGCTTTCTGGATTTAATTCTCATTGCTGCAGATAGAAATAAGCAGATCTTCAAGATGATATGGGCACATTATATCTGTTACTACACATCATTCGTAAATTTTTTAAGTGTTATTCTAAACATTTCCAAACATGCATAAAATAGGACAGTATAGCAAGCTCCCACATACCTATTAGCGACATTAAGTTAATGTTAGTTAGGGTTTGGAGGGTAAGGGTGGATGGATGGATGCAGAGGTGTGCAGCACCGCAGTAAAACGCCCAGAGATGCGCGCTGGTAACCAGAGATCCGAGTAATGCAAAGATTTGCAACACACAAAGAGGTGAAAGAAGAAAAGATTTATTTAAGAAAGGTTCACTTCCTACAGACAAGAAGCGGGCCAGCACTCCAAGGTGAGTGTGGCCCCGTAGCCCCCGGAGCCCTAGGCTTAAATCCTTTCCCCTGGAGATGTTGCAATCAGGTAGACGTGACTGCCGTGACTGCCTTGTTGACCACCTGGGAATGTCTTGGTCACCATGCACTGAGTCACGCATCTTACCACCCTTGGGAAGTTATACAATGGGCCGATACTGATCATGCTTGAGAAATCTGTGTTTCCAAAAAGACAAATTACAATAGGCCGGTACCAGTCATGCTTGAGGGGTCTGTGTTTCTGAAAAGACAAAGTGGGCAAAGTTAATCTATACCTAGAGTATGCATTTCTCCAGGACATAGCTTCTACGTTCTCATCATTGTGTTAGGGTTTAGAAACAAGATAAAAAATGGCTTCCTGCTCTCCGTCTGTCCTTTCAGTTAATACTTTGCTAAATTTGCTTACTTTTTCAGTTGAAGAATTTTGAAGTAAATCCCAGTCATCATGATATGTCTCCTTTAAATATTTCCATATAACAATCTCTATAAAGGGAGGAGCATTTTATATAACCATAAAGCCATTATCACACCTAACAAACTTAACAATATTCCTTTAATATTATCTCATGTCTAGATCCTGTTTAAGTCTCCCAATTGCCACCAAAATGTCTTTTTACAGTTGGTTTGTCTATTTGTATGTTCAAATAAATAACCTACTTTGCTAAGTCTTCTCAGACACCCCCCCCTTACTTAGAATTAATCACCTACTCTTTGGCACCAGATCATACCTTGGGCTAGTTATTTATTAGCACTAAATAAGAAGCATCTTGAAGTAAGAAACTAAGGTCTTATTAATCTTTTTAATTCTACTGTGCCCCATCCTCAAAACAATGCCTAGACTATTACAAAACAGCATTACGTTTTGGAAATGACCCTGGCAAAGCTGGGATCTGAGTTTAAGGTCATTAGTAGGCAAGAGTTATATGTTTTCATTTTAATTTGGGGGTCAGGAAACGGTTCTGTAAGATTTTGGGACATTTCGGTTTTAACTTTAACTTACAGCTCAAACTTCAAACTGTGTTTTTAAACAACCGCGCTTCTGCCCTTGACTTAATTGCAGTAGCCAAGAAAGGGGTGCAGAAAGCGCGCTGGTGTCGGGGCGGCAGACAGACCTGCGTTTCGTGACATCTCCTCCAGTTACCCGCGGTGTGACTCCAGCTTCTCTGACTCTTAGTAATGTGCCCAACTTGCAAATTGCTGAGAGGAACAGGCTCGGTGTCCGGCCCACAGCCCCGGCTAGAGGGAATCCTCATTCTGTCCACGGTTCTACCGCCGTCGGCAAACGCTGCGGAGCAAGGCTGCGGTCTAGGGGAGACGTGGGAGCAAGCCCAAGAGCAGCCCGCCAACGGGGTTGTTTGCAGAAACGCACCTTTTCCCGGAAGCCTCTCCAGCTGATTCTTTCGTTTCTGCTCCCTCAACCCCGGTTTTCTCGGTGGAAAAAAATCAGGATGCCATGGGAGTTGTTAAGAAAGGAACTTTACAATTTAATTCACATTATCTCCATGTGTGCGCTGCGTCAAATCTGGGAGCTTTTAATGTGATTGGATTCATTCTAATTATCCGCCTGCACCTGGGCGCCCTCCACCCAACCCACTCCGCCCCCCCAGCTCCGCGGTGCCTTTTCCGGATCCCCTTTCAGAAGCTTGGCTTTCACCAGGCCTTGGCCATCAGCGCTTCCCTTGCTCTCGGGTTCCACCTCCAACCCCCGAAGCCTCCAGATGCCTTGCAGGTCCTGGAAAGCCCGAG